TTAAAATAAAATCCAAATATCTAAACTAGGTTTTATCCAACATGGTACATATTTTCTATTATAATTCAACTACTTTGTATCACTATAAATACTACACAATTGTTTCATATTTATCCACACCAAAAGTTATACACACGAGAGAGAGAGAGAGAGAGAGGCATTTTTGGGAACTAGAAGACAAGAAGTCATTTTGCAACCATTATTCACTAAAGCTTTGAAAAGATTTTGGTCACGTGCATTCAAGTACCTTTCATATATTTCAATAATGCAGTAAGATACTTTAAGTGCAAGTGTTTTTGTTTCCTTATGCGTTTATGTTCAATTAAAAATGCATGTATTGTCAGTAGACATTCTTTTTTTTTTTAAAGAGATATGAAATCCTACGGGATTGTAAGAGGACCTAAAATGAGTGTGTCGCTTGATCACCGATATACTCCATAAGATCAGATGATATGAAGTGTAATTTTTATTGTTATATATATATATATGAAAACTGTATGTATTTTACTGTGTGTTCTTGAATACTCACTCTTACAAATTTTTACAGATTCGTTAAAATTGATTGGATTTGTGGTAGGGCGGTGATGCCGGCTGCCAAGATGAGCGTAGTAACAAAGCATAAATTTTTCATTAAGGCCCTGTTTGATTGGGCAACAATTCCTTGAAAAATTGAATTTTTTTTTCTATTTTCCACATTTTGGTAGTGTTTGATAGCAAATAATTTCCATGGAATTCATTCTCTTGGTTTTCTTGAAAAATGGAGTTTTCTTGGTTTTTAAGAAAAATCAATTCCCACCTATATGGTGAGAAATAATTTTCTAGGTAGGCTGCCATTTTTTTTTGTTGACAATGGAAACAAATTCTAAAAATTATTGTAAAAAAATATTTCCTTTTCATTGACAATTTCCATGTAAAATAAAACCAAATGAACACAAAAAATAGATGATTTTCTTGAATAAATTTTTTTTGGCAATGAAAACAAATTTCATCTCCAATACCAGTAAAATTTATCGCTTTAATTGACAATTTTCATATAAAATAAAGCCAAACGAACACCAAAAAGCTTTTATTTCAACATTTTCCACGTAAAAAATCATACCAACAAAACACAATAATTTACAATTTCTAGAAAAACAATTTCTAAACAATTCAATTCCCTGAAATTTGTTTTCTTTACACCCAAATTTCATCTTTGCAATCAAACGGACCCTAAATTTTTCAGCTTTCATTATTATTTGTTAATTTATTTTAAGACATGTTTAGTGTTATTTTTCAAATACAATTGCTACGTTTAATTTAAATTTATGAATGCCACAGTTATTATTTATTAAAGACTTTTATTTTAATCTTTCGCTATGCCAAATTAAAGAAAAAATGAATTTTTTGGTAATGCTCCGGTTAGGGATGTCAAACGAGCCAAGCGACCGGGCCGCTCGGCTCGTGGGCGGCTCAGGCTCGTCAAATGACGAGCCCAAGCCGAGCAGGGGGCTCGATCCCACGAGCCGTTTTGACGAGCCCACGAGCTGAGCTCGTCCAAAAAAATTGAAATTTTTAAAAAAGGTGCAAAAATTAAAAGAAAAAACATGAGCTCTCGAGCAGCTCGTGGGCTCAGCTCGGCTCCGCCCCCCCGCTCGTGGCTTGTGAGCTCACGAGCTTGTGGGCCAAGCTAACGAGCTGGAGCCGAACTCGTGTATGAAAATTTGAGGCGTTACATAGGTGGCAACGCGTAGTTATGCTTTTTAGAACATTGATTATAAGACGTGCACAACTATGCTTATTAGACATTGTATTTACAATTCTATTTTATATTATTATAACGAATGAGAGATGGGACGAGCTGAGTTCGTTCTCGACTCATCTAACATAAAGGTAACGTGCATGGGCCATGCATGCTACCATTGATTATCAATGGCACATGTCGTGCTACCATTGACAAATCATAAATCTCAATGGCAATTAAGCCAATTTTTAAATTTAAATTTGAATTTTTTTTACAGCATTGGGCATATAAATATGCCTTCTTTGAGAGCTAGAGTTCATCACAATTCACTTTCATTTTTAGAATTATCTTCTCTACAATTTCTCATGTTGTATTAGTAATTGTAGGATTTTATGTTCAAGTATCTATAATGACTATAGCGAATTGAAGGAAAAAAAGGACCCAAAAGAGTTGGAGACGTAGGACATCAAGAGTGATGCCATCCTAGATCAAACAATGACTGATATGGCCACTAGTTTGCAATGTGAAATGATTTCTAGTGTAGCATGGTCATGATATTCGTCTTCTCCGAACAAATGGAGGCGTGTAGATGACTACTCGTTGCATACCCAATATGCACTATATGAATACCAATATAGGATGAATTTGTGCATTGGCTTACTGTGTTGGGAAAGACAATCTTCTCATTATGAGCAAGAGCGACGGCCCCTCAGATCCATTGGCGTTTTCACCAAGTTAGAAAGCATCGAAGTTACCACTTCTAGGGAATGGAGGCAAAATCAGAGACCACAATAGATAATCATAACCTTGAGATTGTCGCAAAGATGAAACTAAATTGACATCCAAGTAAGGCAAGAGATTCATCTTCGATAAGGTACTGTAGATTCCATCAGCATATACACATGATACCATCGAGTGTAGGGGTATAATGGTTGAAATGGAGCATATCCTAGGGTAGAGGAAATGATCACTAGCGTGAATCGGTCATGCGAAAGGCGTATTAGCCTCAATCCCCGAGAAGAAATCGTTCTCGACCTTTGGGTCAACGACCACATAGATCAATGCGGACAATTGCCAAGCAAATCTAGGTTGCGGCCAGTAATAAAAACCTTGCTCGTTTTCGAAGCCTGCTGGTGAGACCATCAAGACTTCCCTCGTAGTTATGGTGATAGCTAGCTATAAGTTCTCAATTGACTGAGGCAAGTTGGTAAGGCTCAAATAATTACTTCCCTTAGAGAGACGTAGTTATAAGACCTCTTTAGAGGCTGGTTTGTAAGCCTTTCGAGCTTCAATGACCTCGATTTGTACTTATCCTAATCGGAGATGTGATCTATTGTCTAATTTTGATGTCTAAATGACTGTCTATCCAATAAAATATTGACATGTCATCAATTTGATTGGTTAGTGGCGAAATTAACAAGGATAAATTTGAGATGATATATAAATTATTGATGTTATATCCATAATTCATTAGATGGACATCCATTTAGAAAGCAAATCTCAACTCTCTTAATTGAAGGTGGGCACCTGCATGCTGTTAATTTTCTTAAAGAAATGGGCCTAAGAGATCTATCCCGAGTTGGGGGTTGGATCATGGTCGGTCCCCACCCCGAACCCCTTTAACATGTTTATTTTATTTAAAAAGCAATGGCACAGAAAAACATGTTGAAAAAATTGGGTGATTTGTATTTAGATACTTACCAAATAACATAATCAATTTATATATTACAATAAAATAATTCAATAATAATATAAATATACGAGAAGAAGAGTTGGAAATGCAAACACTAGGAGTTACGTTGAAGACACCGTCCTAAAGTCGTGTGCCCCCCCTTCATGTGGGTACCTTCGGCACTATATGACTTTAAGATAAAATCCATACGACTGGTAGTTAGTTCTCCTTCTATGTGCACGACCATAGAGAGATAAGGAAACGAACCCTTATCAAATTGTCCAAACTATAGAAAATAATATATAAGTATAGAGAGTATTCTTATGAAATTATCTTTTTCATGTTATATTTAACTCCATGGGAATCACTCTCTTTTATAGGGAGAAATTCAACCCCTACATTTATGAAAATAAATCATATTTAAGTATAAGTTACAATCTAAATTATGAGTTTCAAATTTGTATTAAAATTTAAATTTAAAAATAAAAATTCAAATTACTTTTAATTTTAAAATTTAAAACTAAAGTTACAATGAAACAAAGGCCCAATGCAATTCTGAAAACACTAAAAAGAAATCGCCTGCGATACCTAACATAGCACACATGGATTCACGAAAATTTTAGTAGTGCATTTAGGGATGACAATGGTTCGATTTCGGTTCAGTCAAAACCATCACCGAATCGTCAAATTTTTTGCCATACCATAACCACATAAATCAGGTCAGTTCGGTTCGATTCGATTAATAACCACGAAAATAAATTATTTTTTATAGATTCATCAGTCAAATTGATATAAAACAATTTATGAAAAAAGAGTCAATGAAAACAAAAACACAATATTTCAAACGAAAATGCAATATTATCTCAAATTCCAATTATAAAATTCAAATTCGACAAACAATATTATGAATATAACAATACTAAATTTTTCCTTCATTTTTGATTTTTGTGCATTGTAGCTACTTGATTCATGCTCAATAATTTAAAAGTTTCAACTTTAACACATATTCAATCTCTATTCTTCCCCCACAACTCTTACTAGCATAGATTAGCACTCAATATTGATTCCTATCTAATAAATAAAAAATGTAAATAAAGAATACAACGATACTACTTAATCCAGAATGATTTTAACTAAGATTTAAATAAAAAAATGTATTTCTTCGTCAACTTCCTCCTCACTAAACCTTGTTATCCCTAATAAAAGAATGATTTTTTTAAGCGGGTAATGGGTTCGGTTTCAGTTCGACGGCATAAATACCATACCCGCATCGTCACGGACCGGTTCATTAAAATCAAATACCACATCTGCCCCATTGCCCTATAAGTTCGATTTTTTTCGCTTCATTTATTTCGGTTAATCACAATTTTCGATTTTAACAGTTCAAATTGTCATCGCTAAGTGCATCACATATTAACGTCAAGATCAAAAATAAAATAAAAGGGGGTTAATCGAGGATTCGGGACTTCACCGTTGTCATTCTTAGGTTCTGAGTCTGCCCAAGAATAAAACCCACTAAGTTAGAATATTGTTTATATTATTCTGAAGTTAATGTCTATATTTGCAAAATTAATAAAGTTCAAAATTTTAGATACATACTACTCGATTTTTAAAATTTGCCCTTTGTTCGGGCCATATCAAGCTCGATTGCCCTTGCTCTCTCTACCACTTGTCCCCTCTTTATACTCTCTCTGTCGATGAAGTTGACTGCCGCAGAATTCCGTGACCCGCTCGCCCTCCCATTCTGGCATCAACGATAATCAGCCGGATCCCGCACAATCGCACCGTAAATTGAGTAAAATATTTCTCCTAAATTTTGCTCCGACACACAGTATATGTACGCATATATTATACAGTAGAAAAAATGCAGAAGAGCTTCACTCTCGTACACACTGTAGCAACTGCAGGCGTTTTCTCGGCCGTCTCCTTCTGGTAATTTTCCTTCCAACACTATTTATTGCACAATTTCTTCTGATATCTTTTAATCGAAATTTCAGTTTATTTATTGATTTAATCCGGTGATATGTTGATTTTAGGTATGGATTCATGTTCGGCAGAGAGTCAGCACGAAAGGAGCTCAGTGATTTAATTGAGAGCCTCCGCCGTGCCAACTCTGATCCTGCTTCTTCTTCTCTTCCACCGCAACATTCCTGAAGCAGGTATAGAAGATACACCCACTGACATCTGATCACACAAGTTAATAATTTTGTTATAGTGTAAAGATTGGCAGAAAAAAAAAATGAATTTAGCTTATTAGAGGCATTCCAAATGTTTTTAAGAATTTCCATCAAAGCAAAGATAATGAAATTATTTTTTAGTTTTGATAACTGGGGAAGAGAAAGTAATAAGAAATTTAGAATAGAGTGAAAGGTTAAAGAGTGAAGGTATTAAGGTTGTTATTTTACAATTATTTTTTCTAGCCTCAGCGTTTATGGAGCGGAGATGAGCGGGCTTCTGGAAAAGAAACATGCCATTTTTATTCGATGATTTATCTTTGATAAACCAAACATAGGCTAATTGGACTAACAAGCCTTGACATCACATTTGGGAGATATCCTCAACTTTTATCCTTTCTTATCCCACTCATGAACCAAACATGGCCTGAAGTGATTCATTAATCAATAGGATTTCAAAATCAGCTTGTGAACTTGAAGGGTTGATCTCCTCTTTGTAGGAAGACTATTTTTTTTTTTTATTATATTCTTATATGGATGGTAATTGGGACCTCAAATCTGAATTTTGGATTCTTCATACCTTTCAAATGTTTATCTGATTCTGAATATGGTTTACACAGGTTCAGGCTATGCTGTTCTATTTTTCATTCTCAATTTTTGAGATCACATTATTTTTATGTGAATTAGTGTTTGCAGGTGTCAAGAATGTAGTATCTAGTAAGCTGAGAGAAACAGGCTCCTAGATTTTTCTTAGAGCTTAGTCCGATTCCAAAGCTTAAGGTAGTTACGGCTTGGTCCAGTGCTCTCTGTAAATGTCGCTGGAAACATTTATTTATGTTTTCTTCCATTAGCTTTGAATGAGAAAATTTGAATGTTTTCATGTTGGTTAAATATTCTAATTCTATTTGATGTAATTTGCTGGAGAGAAACTACTTTGGTGGTTGATGGATGCTATACATTTTTCTTTTATGAAATCCCTAGATACGCTTGGATGATATTCAGCTTGACTGTCACACATGCTCACTTTTGCAACCTCTGCCACTTAAAATTCCATAGCAGCTTATCTTGGAACATGGAAGGAGCAATTTAGTCACGTTTCAGTTTCTTTTGATGTTGCCAAGAAGTTGAATGGTGTTCAGAAAATGTACATGAGGGTTTATCTTGAATGTTACCCTGCCATTTAAATATTTTACTCTCAAGCTGTATACGGAACACATGCTTTTGCCTCTTGATTGGAAATAGACCATAGATGACCTTGACACGGGGTAATATGAATCTAGTCTTGTTTTTGGAAAAGAATGGATACTTGGATGCATCCATTTGACATACCTAGTATAGATAAATCTAGATCCTTTCATATCTGCTACTCTGCCAGAAGTCGAGTTCATCGATTGGTCCACTTACAAGTACTTCCAAAAATGCAACATGGTATGGCTTATTGAAGACCGACAATCTTATAATGAGACACTACTGAAGCTAGGAAAGAAAAAAATAGAAACCAAGAAGGCAGTTGAAAGCACATGATGTAGTCATCAATAATTAGCAGTGAATAACGATGCAATAACTTCCTGGTTAAAAGTTGTGAACAACGACGCGTTAACCTCCTGGGAAGAGATTCCTGGGAAGAGATTTCAGTAACTGTAAATTGACTCCCTTTTTGTTGGCTATGAATGTGAATTTTATGATTTTACTGTCAGTCTTTGGCTAGAGTGAATCAGTGAATTTCAACAAATACATTCTTTGACAACTTTCTTCTCTGTGCCTCTATTTAGTGGCTACCTCCCCATATTGCAATTTTTGATACAAAACTAGGGAATTTTATTTATTTATTTTTTATGACCATGGGTGTTCGGACTAGTTTACGCGCACTTCAACTAATTCCACAGAGCTCTGAAGTTTACAGTCGAATACTCATCTATTAGTGGCCCTGAAGAGACTCGAATTGGTGACCATTGGGGAGCAAAAACTAGGAAAATATTTAACTATTTCTGTAAAATAAATTCTAATTGAAACAAAATGTGTCCACATGTTTAGCACTAATATTTGTTTTTATATATAGCTTGTTTATAATTAGAAAAACTGTAGAATCTGTGTTGAACTTGTTTATATATACCATATGCAATTTTTGATACGTGAATATTTTTATTTTCTTTCCTCTAGTGATGCAAAGTACAACAAATAGTCTTTCTTGTCCGAAAGATCTGACCTTCGAACGAGCAAAATAAATAAATACTGAAATGAAAATATAACATGTTTAAATGTATAACTAACATGTTCCCACGTCTGTGTCCTACTTTTATAAAGTGTTACTTGTTAGCGTGTTCTTTTTTCGTGCTTCATAAAATAGAGCACTCGTCATTATATTGATGCATGTATATATGTCTTTACACAAGGGCAACCTTGTTTATCTTCTTCACGTTATTTTCTTTGATAAATCCAACATACAGATCTGTCCTGCTCGAGTCCATCTCCGAAAGTCTCTTGTTTCGACCACCTTCTGACATGTTTTGTACAAATTCAACCAAATTCCTCCAATTCTCTGCTTCAAACAACTGCTTATTCATCCTTAAATATGTAAATGCACTCAGTCCATTTCCAGAATCTGACCTACTTGTTGCCAAAACTTGTGAGTATGCTCCTGAATCATACCTCTCCAGTGCATTTTCTCCAGCAAGTTCTGTTCCGGCAGTTCTCGTTGCCATCTTAACTTGGCGAACTAGACCTTCTGGTGAGCACTTGGCATACTCTGGTTGTTCTCCATCTATCATTTCCATGCACGTAAAGTTGAATACAACTCCGTGTTTACCCAACATTTGGGCTAATGGTAGGTAACCATCATGGTGCCTAGTATTATAATATCCTGCTGTTAATTCGGCTGCATGCGATCTTGTGTTGTAGTGCCAATGAATTCCAGCAACTTTCCCAGATAGTTTAGCTCCACTTCCTTGGAATATTCCTTTAGCTGCTCCCAGGATTTTGTCTCCATGATCGAGTAGTTTTCCAGAATACCATTCTAAGAAAAAATTTCCATAGTCATTGGTCCAAGTACCGTCCCTTGGGAAAAATCCAGTTTCTTCGGGGAATTGGTTGTAATGTCCCGCATCAACTGGCCCTCCTTGTCCCCATTCATTCTTCCCTATTGCCTCTGCTGATGCTGCTAGCGAAGCTCTCATGTACTGGTTTTCATAGAAGTGTAGTAGAAGATCAGTGTTTTTAAAACTTGGCCAGGGCATTGACCTTGAGAAGGTCAAGGGTCAAAAGAGTTCAATCGGGGTTGAAATGGAGGTCAAAATAATTATGTATATATACCATAAAAAGTCTACAAATATAAGTTTTTCTCCAGTACAAAAAGAAAATTCAAATATTTAAGGTTTTGCTCTTGGACTAGTTCGCAGTTTTTCTAATTAAGCCGACTAGGCTGGACCGCTTCTTACAGCACTGGGGGAATAGGCACACAAAAAAGAATCTATTCTAAAGTGTTGCTTTAATTACCTTGTCGTAACACTGGAATTCACCAATTCCTGGAAACTTCCAGGTTCCGTTACTTTCCGGATAGGATGGATACCTTAACTCTCCACAGGGTCCCATCCCCACTTGTATCTCCTGCAGTAAGAGAGAGCAAATTTGAGTTTCTAAAGTTGAAGGGAATTGTTTGTTCATTTGTAAGGTAGAAAATGAAATAAAGAGCAGAGTGGGTCCTTAACAAGTGATATTTTTAAGCATAGCTCTAAAACTTAAATTTATCCACTATTTTGACAGTGATTTTGATATTGTTTACTGCAAAATATCTCTAAACTATGCTAATTCTCTGTTAAACCTTTTCTCCTTCCTGAGCTTTGCTCATCTGGCTAAAGTGAGAATAGACTGTATTTGCATAACCAACAACATCAGTACATCTTTCTGAATAAATTGGACTAGTTGGTTGTATTGCTAAAAGAGAATTGAATTATTTTCATTCTTTCATATACTGGGTAGGGGATTTAACTTGGAAGAGAAAATGTTCTATACCAACGGATTCGAGTCCATAACCATGATTTTCAATGCACGAGATCTTGTAGCACTTAACCAATGAGACCCTATCGATTAGTATTACACAGAATAAATCAATTATAGATACTAATATAATAAGATCCACTCTTCATATTCAAACTTGGGATTGGTGATCCTAGGTAAGATCAGTTCAGGATAATGAGGTCCTTTACATAGTATAAATCAATTATAGACACTGATACAATTAGACCGGCTCTTCATATTCAGACTTGGGATTTGCGATTGTCAAGCTACATGAAATAGTTTTTCAGAGGACCACAGAAAAATTATTGCTGATTAAGATTTATTTTTTTCTCAATGTTTTCTAATGTTTTAAATAAAACCTTCTTGCAAGTCAAGATCAGTTTAGGATCATGGGATCCTTTTCTATCAGATAGGAAGGACTATAGCACAAAATGTACTTTTAAGTAATTGCCAAAATGTCTCCTACATCTTAAAAAAAAAAAAAAAAGAAAAAAGAAAAAAAAAAAAGGTTGAACTCTAATCTTGAGAGCCCCCACCGCCCCGCCCCTAGAACTTTGTGAGGGAGGTAAATCTCGGAATGTGTCCGAGCAGGCCAAGGAACAAGAGCTGCATGTATACTGCGCCTACAAGGAGTCCAATTTCATGTTTCAGGAATCGAACCCCCACACTGCGGCTTTCAGCAAGACGTGAGATAACCTCACTCTTGTCCTTTGCACTACTAAGCTATGCTCTGGGGGGCAAACGTCTCCTATATCTATCCATATGAAGAAGCGATCATGGAGCGAAGAAATTTGATTTTTTTTCAAAGCCTTTGATCTTGAGTTCTTATTTACCATTTTTATTATCACTGACTGCAACATAAAGAAAGAGATATTTGCTTTTTATTCCCTTAATTTTATAATGACTTGTTTGGTAAAGGTGGATTGAATAGTAGTGGACAATAATTAGGGAAACAAAGAAGCTAAAAAATCTTATCCATTTATTCATGTACCGAACCTACCTTGAAAGTAAACCTCTGTTGGCTGTTAAATGCATATAGTGAATGCTCAAGAACTAAATATTTTCTATAGTTAATGAAACAATATGAAGAAAAGTATACTGCCATTGATTTGTGAGGTAAGTCATAGCCTTACCACTATAACTTTTCCCATATAATCCTTGAATCTTTCTCTGAAACTCTTCATAAAGTCAGAATAGGCCTGAATTGGTGTTCTTCCTCTAAGAACCGGCAATGAATCGCAGCCCAATGAGATATACTCTGGGTTGCGCCGACCTGATCTATCTGTGTAGACAAGGTCGGGATTTTTGCTGATCTCTTCAAGCACCCATGGGGGCAGAGGAATGCTGCAAATGGAAAACCAACATTGATGATTAAACTCTATAAGAAAGAAAGAACAAATCCTAGCCATATTTACTATTTTAAGAGCGTATAATAACATGGGAAAATTGCAGATTTGGTCCACAACTAATTGCCCAAGTAGGAAGTTGGATGCCAACATTTGATAAGGAGCAAGTTGGTCCTCAACCTTTAAGTCATCATGTGATCCCTGCGGGAACATATCTAACTTCAATTATGCAGGCACAAACTTCAAGTTGGGCAACGAAATCTAGCCATATTGTGACATGAGTTTTACAGGCATCTGGATGGCTTCAACTTGCTCCTTTATAAAAGTCGGTGACTAACCTCCTCTCCGGAAATAGATGGGGACTAATAATGCAATTTTCCCTAATTAACTCTCGAGTTTGAATTATGGAACTTCTTTATGCCTTGTTTGTTAAGATTGGATGGACTATATGAAACTAGATAACACGATATTAGAAGAAAAGCTAGAATATATGGAGGGATTTATGAATAGTTGAAGGGAAACTTGGGTAAACATAACAGTCATGCTACATTTATAGGGATTTCCGCTTTAGATTGATTGTCACTTGGCACAATTTTACTGGATGTTGGACAAAAAATAAATTTAAACCAGCCAATTAAGTGTTGTCACCTTATCATCTGTAAAAATTCCTATACATTTCATATGTACAATGAGCTTAATTCTAAATATCAAGGAGGGCGTAGCGTGTATTGTTGCTTACCTGCAACTGTCTCCAACATTCCCTCCACACTGATGGAAAGACATGACAACTTGAAGCTTCAAGCCGTGTTTTTCGACCATGTTTACGAGTTCAGCATACCCTTCCCAGTTGTAATTTAAAGGTCCATCTTTCTCGACCAATCCCCACCATGCATCGACCATTACTCCTTCAACTCCGGCACTCTTCAAAGCCATCAAGCTAGCATTCATGGCTCTTGGCTTGTTTAAGTTGCCACTTATCGATATGGTATCGAGTGGCAGCATCACAAAAACAGGTACTCTCAAACCATTATGGTTTTGAGGAATTTCTATCCCATGAAGCCTCTCCTCTTGTTGAACTCTTTCGAGCACCGGGATTTGAACTTCGTGCATGGAATGTTTTGCTCGAAGATGGGTTGATGGCTTGATTTGTGGAAAGCCAACCATGGTAGGGAAATCATCTGAAGTTTTAAAGCTTCTATTATCTTTAAGATTGATAAAAGAAGTTGAAGAACGAAGTGTTAAAGCCATGTTTTTTCTGCTAAAATAAGAAATGTAGGAATGGATGAAGGACACCCATGTTTATTTATAAAGATAATTCTTCTTCGGGTACAAGAAGAAGACAATTTTTGGTGGGCCCTACTTTGAAAAGAAAAAAGTGCAATTTTTTTTTTGGCCTTTTCAAAGTCATCTCCTTTGCAGCCTTTGAACTTTTTCCAACTTAAATGTATAGTATCAGAAGAAGTATTAAAAATGTGAAGTACCATAAAAAGGAAGTATTTAACAAAATAAATCAAGGTTTTCCATAATTTTATTCAATCCGGTATACCAACCATGTTATAACTTTTCAATGTTTTCCGATTAGATCGGAAATTTAAATATTTACAGCGTACGTTAACTATATCATCTAAAAGTTTAAGTTATTAGAGAAGGGTCACGTGTATTTATTAAAATTTTGTCTTCGATAAGTCTTAACGTTCATAATTTATTATCAAAGGTCTTTTTCCGAGCTTTTAATACCGTGTTCATGTAAATAGTTAAAGTTGTTATAGGGTTGCATGTATTTATCTTGCCGGTGATTTCCTTCGATATCATATATCTCGAAAGGTTTCCCCAAAAGTCATTAAAATTAGCTAGGAAATTAAGTAGGCAGACTTCTCAGCCATATCTAAATGATAATCAGTGGGTGGTTTTCGTTTTGCCAGAGGCCTTGCAAGCCCACATATTTTGCTTCTTTCCTTTTGGTCTCTGTTGATGAAGACACAACATATATGTGGATGGAAAAAATCTTTGAATTCTTAAATTTTCTTTGCTTTTTTAGTAGGTATTAGGATAAGAATGACTAAAAGGATCTTTTCAAGAATGCAGTATGTGGTTGCAACTAAATCTAATGCTTGCATTTTCTTGCTTTGTCTCATTTTTTTAAATATTTTTGGTTAATTACAAATTATGATTTTTTTGTTAGCATTGTAGAAACGTAGTTGTGTTTTCTTTGTTTACTTTAAAAAGGGGCATGATAAATTCCAATTTTATTTTTATTTTTATTTTAACACAATAAATAGCAGCTTTCGAATTTCTCAAAATAAAAGCTGAAAAAGAGTTATTTTTGTGGAAGCAAATTGTTTAAATCCTGTTGCAGCGCGTTCATTTCGTGTATAAACTGCTGAATATGAATAATATGCAAATTATTGCTTTTATGCACTGGTGACGTGTTTCCAACTTGGCATATGAACAAGTTGCACGTCCAGTCTTCGAACCTCAAAAAAGCCGTTTGAAGACTGAATAGCTTACACAGCTACACGTAGACGTGTCGGTTTGGGCGGTTTGGGCAGAGTCCAACACGGCTTGTTTTGGGTCTAATCGTCCCGATAAGAATTAAGCTCCGTTTGAGCTCCATTATTTCTCATTATATTAAATTAAAATTTTTTCTCTTATTTTTAACCACACAATATTTAATAAAATAATATTACACGTAAATCAAAATTTTTTCAACCACTCATTTTTAAAAAAAATACTATCCATCTCATTATAATGCCAAATAATAGAATTCAAACACACCCTAAGAAGGTTCGTCGATTCTCATCTGTCTAGACAAGTCAATCATTAACACGGGTTGCGGGCCAGGTGCCCAACTGATCATAGGATGCTAATCAAATTTGTAGTATTTCAAATCTCGTAAAATATGATATCGTCATGTTGAAGTAAGAAAATAAATTAAAATAAAATAAAAACGAAGAAGAAGAACCTCACTTTCTTTATTCTTATGTTGACGAAACAACTCGTGTCTCGTTTGCTTCTTGTTTATACGTAATCTATGATATATCTATCTGACTTTCTAATTTCACCGTCCAAAATGATAATCACACCATTCTAGTCACACCTAATTAAGGTACAAAAATTGGTTCTGCGTAGAGTTTTTTCTTTTCTTTCAGTCTTACTGTTTTCATTCAACCAAAATACGAAAATTCAAACCATGTTAATCACGCGCTACCATCCTCTTGTTCCCTGACCTGCTGGGACATATCCCACGATTTATCTCTCTCACAAAGCTCTAAAGACGAAACGGTAAGAACCCTCAAGGTTGGAGTTCAACATTTTTTAAGAAATTGGGCCTGATTTTTCTTCAACAGGAAATCGAATCTCCAGCTGCTTGATATTGATAAGTTTGGTCGTACTCGTATAAACCCATCACATAAAGATTAGTGTTGTTGGACCCATACCTACCCTTCACATAGTTTATGGAGGGCATTATATTGGTATTTTAGTATATTTTAATTCAAGATTTCCACCTCAAGAAAATTTACGGAAAATTTCAAACTGATGCAAACATGTATATTGAAAATACATTTATACAGCCAATAAACGCAGGAAATATAAGAGCGTTTTCGAGAATTTCGAAGAACAGATCTTTTCAGTTAACTAATGTTCCCCATAATTTCTATAGAAGATGAAGCTAGAGGATTAATGTAATTTCTGTATTTTGTGAAAGGAAAATTTAATGCAGAAGTCTGGAATTACACAGTTCTGTACAGCTCCACCATCATTGAAAATACGTATGACTATACAAATTATCTTCAAATGTAGTTCTACTGTTATAATATCGAAAAAAGCAACAGAGAAGCATATTTCTAAGGCGTTGAGGTACAATATACAGCAGAGGCAATGTTTCCAAAACTCAATACTTGACCTCACCAAAAACAGAGAAGCACTCTGAAGAATTCACAAAACTATAATTTTATATTTTCATAAAAGCCTTACGACCTAATGCATGTCAAAATAAGCGTCATCTTTGGTGGGCCGTCGACCACAATCTTCCAGGAACAGCACCATTAAAGCAAAAATTGAAGGAAGCTCGATCTTTCCGTTGAATTCTCACCCCGTAAAGCTCATTAAGCATACATTCAAAGCTGGGGTTCGTCACGAACCCTTTCGGGGATCCAGTCAGATTCTTCCTTAGGCTGTCTTAATGCAACAAAGTGAAGTGCATCGCTTTTCACTTGGTAAATGTGGCATGCCCACGGATACGAGTCAGGTGCCGACCAAATCTTTTGTTCTTCAAACACAGTCTCCTCGGCAAGAGATTCAACAATGCAATATACAGTATTTGGTTCTGGCTCTGTGAAACTTGGTACAGCAACACAACCAGGAGATACAAAGCCCTCAGGTGCCCGTGGATGCCAAATTGATACTGGAGTTTTGTAGTCATCTGAACAATTTCTCCAAACCTGTATCACATTCAAATATTTATATTCCACAAACAATTATTGAATATAACTATTATCTAAGAAATGCCAAGTGAAGTCAGTTAAAACCACCATCAAATGACCTGTTTAGCTTGTTAAATATGGCATAGGGAAATCGGAGTACATTCACTTAATACTAGTAACATGATACAAAAATAAGATGAAATAAAGGTTGGCTGGTAAAACTACAACACGCACTTGATGATATTGAGTACTAATCAAAATGTTGCACAAGTCAGAAGCTGAAGACTTGACACTGGGAAATCATTTCACTTGATAGTCAATTTAGGACGAAGGTCTTTTGCATCACAATGTTCATAAAATTTCCACACATCACTAGATTTTTGGTACTCTTTCCCTCCCTCATCGAGTAAACAATTATATGAAATAAAAACATATATAGACTGCATCTAACACACCAAGACATTACTGAAAATAAAAAATAAATACTTGAGACGAGAAGTGTGACTAGAATAAGGTTGATAGCTTGTTGAGGCTTGCAAGTATAATAAGGATTATGGTCTAGTAATTAATGTAACTATGAAATTGAAGGAAACTGATTGATACTTAAAAAAGACAACGTCGCAGTATGAAGATCGCAATCAATCTTTGCAGGGTATCAGGCTTGGCGTATTACTCAGTGCTCATTCAGAAAATTGATGATGACATGGCAAGTAAGAGAACACAAGGAAACAATATGCCACTACATTTCAAGATATGTTAAATATTTTTTTTGATAGGAAATGATGAAATTAAATTTGTGGGTTGCAGGGAAAGATATGTTAATATTAGGAGTAGATAAGCTAATATTGAAGAGTTTAACATAAAAAATGATTTCCTCTGAAATTATGAGAAAAATCAACCAACTAAAAGGTAATATGCCTTGCAGATCAAGGTTAAATACAATAGAATAGAAAACAGTTTGGTGCATGCTAATACTAAGAAAGTAAAATAGGCAAAAAGAAAAATGTTTCTAAATGCAGAAGTTAGCAAAATATTCCCACTCACCAACTATATGTTTCAACAAAAAGTTCAATACAAAAAACACATTCTAAAGGACAAGGAAAAAAAACTCTCACACCTTACAAGAGAAAACCAGGAAAAAATTGCTTCTATCCCCAATAATGTTTTCATTAACAAATTAAAGCCAACTCCATAACTTCAACAATCTAAGGGAGTTTACCAGGTCATAACCCACTGGATGGGAAAATAATTCATCAGAAAAGGAATATACTGCTGCAACATTAGGAGGATGATTGCCAGTACGTGCTATATCACCAATCGAGATATACCTGAAAAGTAAAGATACTATGTCCAAATCAAGAGGAGATGATGATGGAAATATGGATGGCCACTACTAAGAAGATGAGGGTACAACACGAAAGCCTTCAATGCAGAAATTTCAAGACATGAGAACATAAGAACCAAGATCAGTGTCACATGTCAGGTGCAAGAACTTAGCACAAACAAATCTTTTGTTCTAGAACTTCAGAAAGTCTTTGACCTCACAATTTAAATGAAATATCAAACCATTATGTTTTGAAAAGTTTATTTATAATTTGAAGGTCCATGAGAAACAGCAACTATGTTCAATTATGGAATTCAAAGGAATCAACTAGGAAATGATATTCTGAATCATAGAACTATAATAATATATACGATCACCAACATTTATCCAGTTTAATCTTCATTGATTTCAAAATCCACGAGTATAACTACGTTTCCAAGATTATAAACAGTGTATTCCCACACATTCCTGGAAATCGAATAAAGAGGTATGAAAATGAACTCTTTATGCAGGAGATAAATATTGTTCATACATGTGGCAAAATATTTGCATAAACAATATGAACCCAACATAATTTCTCACTAATAGGGTGATATCTAGTAAATAGTTAATCTGATTGAATTCATGAGCACCACACACTTTCAAGCTTTGGCTATTGACACCTAAATATTAGAGGAGAAATCTTTAAACACAACCAAGAAGATGCTGTTTATAGGAAGAAAAACTAATTTGTAATAGATGGAGTGATCTCCAAGAGGGTGAATTAATTACCCATCCGGACAAACAGGCCGCCAGATACTACAAATTTCCTCGTCCTCCAAACTCTAAAAAGGAATGGAAAATGTTTTAGAATACAATTGCATTATCAGAGAAGCAACAAAATTTAGAGACGGTGATGTGTAACCAATGATGGGTTGAGATATTTTTCACCTGCTTTCGGCATAACGTGCACCGACTTTTTGATTCTTGCTCACTGCTCCAAACCTTAGAAAAGTTGACACTATGTTTGACAAATCTCCGGTCATTGGAAACAGAAACCAAAGAAGAAATTTCCACTGACGTGATAACGGCTCTGTGATGTCTACGAGATTCTCTTCCTCCATTTTCGCTCCAAGAAGCAGACACATATCTTTGGCTTGAAGGAACCTTCAGAAATATGAACAAATTATTTCACTTGCATGGGCTAACATATTTGCTTCCTAAAAGTAAACAAATTCTGTCATGCAGCAAAGACCTTAAATGATATGCTTTTCATGTCGGCGAGGTATGCCTTCCACATTCTACGGACCACTGAGCAGATTCTAACTGCTTGCGGTTCTCTTTCCTCTGTTTCTTCTTCTGTATTGCATTTTATGACTCGAACAAAGTTTTCTGATCTCCTAAAGTTTTTCAGATGGATAATTAAGTGAGAAGGTCTCATGTAGCCAGCTTTGACCAACTCCACGGCCATAAGTTCTTCCCACGGCACGTCCCACATGATCTTGCAGGGCTTTTCATCTAACCTATCTAGAGCCAGACACTTCCAATACAAAGAAAAAGGGAGACTCAATATCTTAACGAACCAGATATTACGAGTAAGATAGAAGAGAAATTGGAAATAACAACCTGCAGCAGCATGACTCGTCTATTGGTCACTAAAACAATCCGTTGGTAAGGTACCATAAAATGTTCTTCATAGCAATCTGACCAGGCGAATTTTGATGGTTCTTTGAATATATCGGTGCATCCAAAATTCCTACTTGCTTCTGCAAGGTAAAGTATCATCTGAAACCAATGAAAAGGGATGGTTACAGCGTGTCTTCTGCCTTACTGAAATATTTTTTCATATGCAGTTTGTCTTAAAACTGACTGTTGACTAGTCAAAATAATGGTCATGTTTCTAGTATGGTACAGTAGGTACACAGGGATCTGAGTAATCTCTTAGATTTTTGTTGAATCACAAAATTTAAAAAGGTTGGGGGAGGGGGAGGGGGAGGGGGAGGGAGAGGGGATATTTTAACTTGGAAATATCAACATGAAAAAGATACCTGACCAACAGCTTCTCTTTCAGAGTACTCTCTAAGTATATTGTCACTACGAATGGCTCGGGGATTTCGTACTCTCTGGAAGTTTTTTTTGTTATTGAGAATCTCTAAGCACCTGGAACAACTCGCACCAATTCCATCAACAGTCAATGAGAAAAAGTCCAACGCCCCACTCACTGGCTGTAGAACAAATCCCAGGAAAGCTTGTCCCAGCCCATGGGCAAGACCAAGAAGACCATTTTGTCTAGCACTCTCCACAGGTTTCCTCACAACCCCCGACACTCCAAAAGCAACACCTTGTGCAAGAGCTTCTGTTCCTTGTATGATTCCATCACCAACACCAGTAATTCTTCTTGACCAAACCTGTACCCATTGTTTAATTCCACTGTGAATTAACATTCACCAGCTGGTGTCTTAAATTACAGTAAAACAGTTACCTGCTTTGAACGAAGCTGCAGAAACTGTCCATCAGTTGATAGCTCAGCAAAACCTTTACTTAAAGAGGCCAAAGTGGAGCTAGTCATGCCTAGTACATCAACTGAAAAAATCAAATGCAACGGATTGTGAATCAGATCTCTCCATATACGGTTCCCAATGGCAGACATAATGGTACTTTTTCGTAAAAATCTGTCTCTGTGCATCACTCGGCGCAAATGAACCTGAAATAGGAATATTATCATTAATGTCTAATGTATTATAACGAAATATTTATTACCATCCATATGAGACATCAGCTCATCCTCTTTCTTGATTTCTTCGGATTAATAATAAAAGATCTAACTCTTTGGACTATAGCGACCACACGTAGAAATTAAGAAATTATTTTATACTTTACGATCGAATAAAAAGAACAAAGGAGGACATTATAGGATTTAAATATTTCCTCAGTGGCTGACTGTCCTCCCCTGAAGTTAATTGCATAAAAGGAGGAATATATGCGCACCATCTCCTTACCAAGGATAACCAATGGAAACACTATATGTGATTTGAGCCAAAAATAAATTTACAGCCTTTTAATGATAACTAAATATATTTTTTGAAAAACAAATTTATAGAATTTTAAAGATAATTATATATATATTTTTGAAAATATAAGTTATTGAGCTTTGTTAATCCTAATTTTAATAGAGAATTAAGAAACTTCAGTGCTAAAGAAAAAAATGTTGGGATAGTAAGAAGAAAAAAATTAAAAAGAAGAATGAAACTATGCTGGCTAGTCCTTACATAATACAAACATCAAACAGACCTGAATTTTAAATGCATTCCCAACGGCTGACAGTATGGGGCTCCACACACCCAGAAGCCCCTGTGGTCTTTGAGCAGGTGCAGTCTCCAAAGACACCTTAAGTCTTACTTTAGAAATGTCAATTAAGCTGAAAAGAAGAGGACATGCAGTTAACTCATGCCTCTTCTCAAATTTGGCATTTCCCAAGTTGAAAAGATGAAGTGAAACTCAAAAATTATAATCAGATGACAAACAATGATAAATGCAGCTAATGAAAGCTTTAAGCTTGAGTTAAGGTCATTTAATAGCCATCAGCAATAATGTAATCCTCTTTTCTAGTTGGGAAATGGTTTATCAAAGCCAAAACAGTTACAGTACAGTAACCAGGCTCCACCCACCCCAGAGCAAAGTAAGGAAATATATAAAGTTATCCTCTCTAATAGATTTAAGGTTTAAGATGAAATAATTAATTATGGTATAACAGCAGCTAAAGTCCCTAGTTTAAGTTTCAAAGTTACCCATTGATGAAAATTACATATGCCAGTCCTCTGAAGAGGTATGTTTTAAGTCCAACTATCAATTCCTAATAGATTCATGATTCTTCGCGTATCTGCATTTCTGAATTGATCTTGTAAACGTTACATATGAGTTGCAATGTGATTAGTTGGAGCTGGTCATTAGAGCCAGACTAATCAGAACAGATTATCATGAAGTAACTTTTTGTAGTCGAAGGATTCCTGCATGAAAATGTTGTACATTATCCATAATAATAATAAATCCATTTCCCTATATGGGTGATTTGAATAAAAACGATTTGGACTGCACACGAGGTGCCTATTTAAGATTTAAATATAAGTAATCCTCTCATATACTAGATTTAAGGGCATGTTTGGCTAACTTATAAGTACCTCATAGGTTTAAAATAAGCTATTAGCTTGTAGATGAGATTGTCAGTTTATAGTACATAACAGGGATGCCAAACTAAAAGAAAAGTATGAGTGGAAGACAAATCCCACTAAAGGATGTCAAGAAGAGGAGCTATATGGAACTTTATGAATTTATTTCTGTTTGATGAATACATTTTCTTCGTTTATGGACAGTCCACTATGAACACGGACATATTTCTTGGGAGATATAACCAAAATCCAAAATTGAATTACCAAGTAACAAGAGAAAAAAGTGTCATAATGCTACATTTGAAGTGTCACATAATTATATATTCTGCTAGCTATGTAAACACACCACCACCAATTCAAGCAACATTTGTAGTTGGAAACTAGTATTGCAAGCAAGCTGAAAACGAGGAAACAACTGAAAATGCTAGAGAGCTTGAATACCAATAATAAAGATCATAGGTTCGCTAGGCACCAGATAAATTAACTAACTCTTTCAGAATTTATTATACGCCAGTCACTAAATGGAGAAATTGTCAACGTTTTTTTTTTCACCATGGGGGAGAGCGAAGAATGCGAGGGAGGAATTGCTCCACATATAAGTAAACGTGATGCTTACTCTATACGTAATTCAGGATCAACTTGAGTGACACTGGAATTTTGAGGAATGCGATCTAGTTGGAGATTGTTGAAGAAATCTACCAATGCCCAGATAATTGGCTCATGGATGTCAAGCCTCCAAACCGTATCAATTACCTGTTATGTTATTAAAAGAATGACCCTCAACATTATGATCTCTTTTTTGAATATGTCCCACTAAATATTGCATTATGTTTGAGGCAAATTACCCGTATGTAAACATATGGAAAAATCTGGATACCGTCGAGGTTTTCATTGCAGACTGTTACAGTCATCTTGAAAACTGGATGATTCACATCAGGGGATTGTTCAGGTGCCAGAAGTACAGGCATTACGGTCAGAGGAAGCTGATTGTCAAGCTGCATGTAGCCAAATATAAGCTTGAACCTGACATAAACAAACAGAAAATGAATTAAATTCATCAATTGGCATAAGAGTGTCCTTCAAAGTTGTTGAACCACTGGACTTAAAAGCTTAAATTGTTAAAAATTGTTAGGAGTATATAATTTAGATATTGTCTTAATCATGGCAAAAAGCTGCGGTTAGTGAAACCAAATGCAAGATATTTAAACCTGCTCGTAGTCCCACCATCATAGCCAGTCGAATAGGAAATAAAGATCCTCTCCATATACAAGTAGACAAGCTCTCTTGGTTGATGGTCCACGGTAGAAATCCCGACGACTCCCAACTCGACAATAAGCTCCAAGGGAGATCCCTGCTCTGACATCGTAGTTTGTAGGTGAGCATTTCCCCAATTACCCCATTGCACTAATGACTCACTTCCTTCGTTTGATCTTGAAAAAGGTGTGCTTTCATTTACAAACCTAATAACCTTAATATCTCCAATATTTGCAACATGGACGAACAAGCCCAACTCATCTTCCACAGAGGATAACCCATAATTATCTACATCAATCTTACAGATTACATTACTACTGGCACCATGAATCTCAGTATCAATGAATTTTTGGCCATATGGATCTTCCCAAGAAAAGTTCGTGGTTGAAAGTGCATGTAGCAGAATCCACGCATCATCACCAAATCCTGTTTGGCGAAATCTTACCATCCTGTTTTTTGTTCTGTTTTCAATCCTTCAAGCAAGAAAACCATAATAAATCAGAACAATGGGAAAGGCAGTGGAAGTATTTCAGCTAGCTAGCACAGATTTTTCAGTAAAAAAATATTTACCTAATCGGACCATTTTCTGATCCCAGGCGGAATACAACTATAAAGCGAGATCCATCCTCATAACCTCGAATTTCAGTCCGTAAAAATCTCCGTGTACAATCATGTTTCCTTAAGACCAGAGTAATGGTATCCTCCTTCAATATTTGAATAGGAAATGACCAATCTGTATCATCCAGTCGTACCTAAATATAGATCACAAGTCATACTATATATAGTGAAGAAGTGCAAACAGGTTAATAAATGGAACAATAGGTGAGTATAAATAGAACAGAGAAAATTAAAGAACAAGAGCTGTAACTAGTCTTGTCCTAGAGGAATTTGCAGAACTCCAATTCAAAGTTGTAATGTCAGTTTTACCTCAATATCTTTTTTAACAAATGGTGGAAAGAAATATTTTGAGAACAAACACCAGAGAAAATGTCCCGATCTAAAATCATACAAAATCATCATTATCCACGAGAAAGAAAATCTTGTGTTACAAGAAGTGATGTGGAATAATCGAGAATCAAAGTTTATTTGCTATATAAAAATTTGGTTTCCTTCTTCGTTGATGCTGGATTCCCTTCACAAGATGATAAAGACGTCCTTCTACAGGATTATGGAGCTCAGTTCCTAACTGGGTGTTCCATGAGCCCATTTTAAGTCTGTAATTACCACCCCTCAAAGATTCAGGTACAAAGGCCATTTCTTCAAGTTCTTAAAGTAGTTTACATTACAATGAAACTTGCTGGGGTCCAAGGGGTATCCAAGTTTTGTGAGGGCCTACTGGCTGGCATGACAGATTAAAAAATGAATTATAGAGAATATTACGCTGTCAATATTATTATTACGATGCAAAATTATCCACTGAGCCCCTGTTTGACATCCTTAAAATTTAAAAAATATTGTTTTAAATAGTATTTTTTGGAGAATGTGTGATTAAAAAGCAAGAAAAAGTTTTGGGTACGTGCAGAATATTTTAACGTATAGACGTGGTTGAAAATGAGTATGAGAAATAAATTGAAGTAAAGGATGTCAAACAGCAGCTGCGAATGCTCATATAATTCGTATGACTCTTGATTCCTGCGTTTATCCTCACATTTGCACAGGAGTTGGAGAACATAATATAGAAGACTTTGTATGGTTAAGAGAAGAACAACTGCATTGGTAACACAAAAATCTACACCATGAAATAGTTACTGCTTAACAGCCAGCAATTCTTTCAATCTGACTAGACTTCTGTACTCTTCATATGAGATTTTATACAATGAAACGCTCACCTGAATCTCGTTGGGCCTACCAGATTCACGATATACGAAGGAGGCTCTTGTATCAGATACCCTCAAAGCCTTGGGTTCGTCTTCACTGCTTAACTTCAGATATATTATTTGACCAAGTCTGTTTGTAAAAGTCATATATGGACGGACAGAGATCACCTGATTAAGGAAGAGCACAAGTTCAGATGTGATAACGCTTAAATCAGATTTTCTGTAAGCTTATAATTACCTTTGTTGGAATTGATTGGTAGGGACAAGGTTTTGAAGATATAAAGAGCCGCATACAATTTCCATCAGCATTATAAGCAAAAAGATCCAGAGAGCCATCCTGAAAATCGAGAAATCAATATGTGACCGATTGGTAATATCCAAAGCATGGATAAGATTAATTTTACTTACCATGTCTCCAAGTGGAGAAAGATCCTTAACAGGCCCAAAATGCTCTCCTCCAGCTTGGCTTATAGATGCTGAAAGGCCCAATGACTTGAAATTCAATGCAGATGCAATTGTTGCACCTTCATGTATCTCTTCCTCTGTAATCTCCTCCAGAGTGACTTCTTTGATCCTCTTTGTCGTAAAAGACAGAGGAATCTTTGATTTTCTGACACCCATATCAACAAGCCTAAAACTAAGTGGCGGGCATCTTGCAATCGCAAGCCAGCAAGGAGAATAGACTTTGATGATCCTTGCCTGCAAAGGCCTTTCTTTGGTAGGGCTTTGTTCAAGAACTATTTGAACAATCCTGCACATCAATAACTAGAGGCATTGAGAAAGAAAACGGAGACCAATACCATGTTCTGGAAAAACAAAATGTATAGAACTATTAGCCGAAATCCAAACCTTCCAGAAATTGAACTTCTCAAACTTAAAGTTTTTGATGGTACATCGCTAGGATGGGATAAGAGAATGGCCTCCTATAACAGACATTTAAAGGTCACATACTGAAATTTCAAGAAAACAAGTCAAGTTTGTAGTTGATGAAAGAGTTGAGAGGTGCTTAGGGACTAACTTGTAGGGGCAACCATCCTGTTTGTGGAAGCAAAGAGAAGTATAGAGGACTTCTTATATCAGCATTATAGACCCTGACAGTCTCCCCAGGACTAAATACCCCCCTAAAGCAGGAAAGAAAATGACCACTTGCTTGCATCTCAAGAACAGAAATTTCAGCTGCAAGAGGGAGATAATTGGCAATAGATATAGGAGATTTGACCACAATTGTCCAATCCAGAATTGGATCAAAATGAATGTTCTTGGCAATTTCCGCTGCTTGGATGCTCAAACAAAACCACATACCATGTGAACTATTTGATGAGCTTCCACTTATCCCAGAACAATACAAGAGTTCCTCGGACTCTCTGAGAGTTGACACACATATTTCAGAAACTTCTTTCGAACTCATCACATCCTGTGATCTAGCGGACAAACCCATTTTACAACTCCATGTATATTCGACGGCATTTTCCACATTTGAAGGCCTCAATTGCAATACATATGGTGCAGACTGTGTCAGGCAAGACAAAGGAAGTGGAATAATTTCATATACCATGTGAACTATTTGATGAGCTTCCACTTATCCCAGAACAATACAAGAGTTCATCGGACTCTCTGAGAGTTGACACACATATTTCAGAAACTTCTTTCGAACTCATCACATCCTGTGATCTAGCGGACAAACCCATTGTACAACTCCATGTATATTCGACAGCATTTTCCACATTTGAAGGCCTCAATTGCAATACATATGGTGCAGACTGTGTCAGGCAAGACAAAGGAAGTGGAATAATTTCACCCGGTTTTAAGGGCCCAAGATATATTTGCGATTTGAAATCTTTGGCCACTGGTTTCCTCTTCCTAATCCACCTCCTTTGTCTCACATAGTTTCCGTATTCTAATGGATAGTGAGACTCTGGCCACTTCAAACTTCCAAAATCTGGAGCATAAACCCATCCATCAGCTGTGTTTACCGAAGTATTATCTACATGCCATTCATCAACCCATTCCCACCCTGATGGCAACTCAACTCCTGAAACTCCCTGTAAAGATGAACAATATTAGTCACAGTCAAGGACAAAAATATTTATAAATTACTCAAACAATGCTAGGATGAAAGCTAAATCATACAACGCCAAAGAACTCAAAGATGACAGGAGAAATTTAAAGTAAACATTCTCAGAAATTTAGAAAACCATCATAATAGATCAAACATTTACTTCAGTTTAGAAAAAAAACCCAAAAATAGATATTGCATTCTCAAATTATTTCTTTATTTTTCTCCTCTTGATTGTCACTTTTTTCCCCATTTCTATTTATCATCATGAGAATTTCTTCATTGTTAAACACAAAGCATGGCATGAGACATTTCAAGGCACGAATAAAAACAACCTATAAGATTTCCTTTGGTGAATAAGGGCTCTAAACTGATGACAATTCTTACCTCCTCATAGTCAGAACATGGAACCCAACCAATTTTTGGATTGTATTTCTCAGTTTCAAAGAACTCATCCGTCGCAAATTCATTTGCATCATAGTTAACCTCCTTTCTCTCACCTGATATTGAATTCGTATTTTCATTTGAAGCTCTGAGCTGGAGGCACACATCTAGCGAAAAGTCAGTTCTGTTATGAACTGATACTAAAGATCTGATGTTGACATATCGGTTTCCATCAATTACGCTGACTTCACTTGCAACCACCTCATTGCCCAATCTCCAACAAGCAGCAGGTGCAGAATAGTTTAGCCTCACATTAGTCCATGGTCCCTCTGGGGTAGGACTAATCTGAATAGAACCAGATTTTCTATTTCCACTAAATGATTTCTCAATGTTTTCAATTTCAGATCTAGGCAGTAAGAGCACTGCACATCTCATTCTACCAAATTTCCTGGATTTGACATTCAGCTGCAAGAAATATCATCAAGGTGAGAGGTTACAAGATGCCTCCATAGATATTTATTTAAGGACTACAAAACATGCGTCATCCAGTTATAAGATGTAAGTACAAGTGTACACGCATGTTGTGTGTGTGTGTGTGTGAGAGAGAGAGAGAGAGTTCACCTCCGATTCTGTAGAGGACAACTCTCGCCAACTAAGCTCATTTAAATAATCATGTGAATTAGAGTAGTCTTCAGATCCTAACAGCTGTTTCATGGGAGATGATAAATAGCAAACTGGCACACCTGCAAAGTGATTCCAAAGTCAATTGTGCACGAACCATGTTAATCCAAGCTAAATGAAGCTGCGTTCACTGCCTCTTTGGAAGACTCCATAAAAGTAACTTCATTTAACTTTTTGCAACATTGCAGTCAGAATTGCATATGATTCCAGCAAGATCCAATTTTGGATCCTCGTGAAACAAAAGCAACCAACAAGCTTTTTGATCTGTAGAATCTATTGTTCAGTAAATATTCTCTAGTCACTAGATTAAATATGTACTAAAACTATCAATAAAGGGAATTAGTCTCTCTACTTTACCAGAACATCTGTTGACAATTACGTCACTAAACATTAATTTTGCACAAAGTTTATCTTATGATACAATCATAGTATTTTACTAGTTAAATATGAATCCACTTCCATCAGAGTTTCTGAAAGAACTTAGGCCCCGTTTGATTGCACGAAATTTTCCATGGAACTTGGAATTCGAATTCCAACTTCCACTTTTGGCCTGTTTGATTGACAAAATTTTCCAGGGAATTGATTTTCCATGAATTTCTAGGTACAACACCTTAAAGCGTGATTTTCCACCTTTTTTTTTCCTAGGGGATAGGTGGTTTTTGGTTTTCCACCTTTTTTTT